CAGACTTTTTTTTTTTTTTTTGAGACAGGGTCTCACTGTGTAGTTGAGACTGACCCGGAACTCAACTAAGTAGTCCAGGCTGGTCTCGAACTCACAGCAATCCTCCTGCCTCAGACTCCCAAATGCTGGGATTACAGGGGTGCACCACCATGCCTGGCCCAGACTCAAGACTTTTAATATGAAAAGCCAATTTGTAAATTTGCAGCTCACTCAAGGTGGTTTCCATCAGTTACCCATCAAAGCCATCTTTAAGTGTCACTTTCATGACTGATTTTATCTTCGTCTGTGCTGTTACTGTAACAGGGTACCAGAGCCTCGGTAATACATAAAAAAAAAAAAGGTTTCTTACAGTTCTGGAGCTGGAAAATCCAAGAAAAAGCAGCTGGCATCTGGTGAAGGCCACTTTCTGTATCACTCCATGGTAGAAGGCTGAAGAGGAAGAGAGCTCAAAAGAGGGAGAAGACTGTATTCATTTTCATAACAAATCATGAAAACAAACCTCATTATGTAACAATGGTACAACCCATTCATAAGGGCAGAACTCACATATCTACTGTACCTCTTAAAAGTTCTACCTCTCAACAGTTAATTTGGGGGCTGTTTCCAACACATGAATTTGGGGGTATATATACTGAAACTTCAGCAAACATACTGTATTTTGGTTAGGCACATATGGGTTTTGAAATGAGTTAACTAAATTTTACATGTATTGATACTTTCCTTAAATTTTGTTTGCCTATCTATTTAAATATTCCAGTTTACTTAATATTAATTAAATATATTGAGATTTTTGTTTCATATCCTTTTGGTCTTTTAATATCCAACAAATTCAAGTCACTTTGCTTTTGGTATTTGTCCTTTAATAAGAATACAGATGACTCAGTCTTTTAACTAGAGAATTTAGGCCATTTATATTGATTCTGTTTTTTGTTTTTTGTACCAGGGATTGAACGCAGGACCTTGAGCTTGCAAGGCAGGCAGCAGGACCACTGAGCTAAATCTCTGGCCCTTATATTGATTCTGATTTTGAGATTCAATAAGTCCCCTACTTAGGAACATTTCAGTTGCAAACTTTCACAGACATGAATGGACTCTGCATTACAAACATTCATAGATACAAACAAATTGCGAAAGTAGCTCACATCTACTCTACACTGTCACAGTTTTGCTGCTGTGCTCATTCAGAGACCAGGATGTCTGGAAGCAAGAAGAAAAGCAGTGGTGATACGGAAGGGGCTGCTAAGAAGTTCAAAGCAATATACATTGTATCCTTGGGTCAAAGGTTTGTAAGAGTCATTTTGTAAAAATTCCCAGAATGGAACTCATTCACGAGTAGGGAACTTACTGTATTTATACTATTTCTAATGTCCTCTTTAAAAACTTTTTTCCCTTGTATTTTCCACTTCCACCCTCACCCTCAACACTGACTCCATCATCTACTCTAAGACATTTATACATTTGAATAGTACCATCATTACTACTTCTACTAACCTTTCAGGGACCTATTCCTGTTTCTAGAGCAAAGGTAGAGATTTTATTGACTGATTGAGCCAGGGTCTCACTATGAAGCCCAGGTTGGCCTCCAATTTGCTGTGATCCTCCTGCTGCAGTCTCTCAAGTGCTGGGATTACAGGTGTGTCACCATGCTTGGCTCAAAACTAAAGATACGAATTCTAAAATTTTTCTACCCAATATGTTACATACATGTACCAAATCCCCACAATGAATGTATTATGTACTAACATAAAGTAATAAAAATTGTAAAATATTCTCCTCCTTAGTTCCATAAGTCTACAGTGATAGCACATAATCCACGCTTTGTGCTTAAAGAGTTAATACAAATCACCTAATTAAATGTTTAGAAACAAAAATGGCCTTTTAATGGTCTAACTATTATCACCTAATATTTGGATATTTTTCCCCTCCGAAAATGAACTTGGATGGCAAGCATGAGGTCAGCCCAGGCAACACGGTGAGATTCTGTTTCAAAAAATAAAAAAGGGTTAGGGCGTATCTCCAGTAGTTTAGTGGCTCTAAGTTCAATTGTGAGGACCAGGAAAAAATTACATTGAAGTCAGGCCTCTCTCATGTGCTAGGCAAGTACTCCACCAACCGGCTACATCCCCAACCCAACGGCATTAAATCACCTCCCTGCAACTATTTGTTATATGAGATTTTTTGTTTTGTTTTGTTTTTTGAGACAAGGTCTTGCCATAGTATAGGCTAGTCTTTGAATTCATATGATCAAACTCAGTGATTTTCCTACTTCAGCCTTCAGAGTGCTGGGATTACAGGTGTGTGCTACCATGCCTAACAGGGATTTAGCTTAGTGGTGCAGCTGCCTGCCTTGCAGGCACAAGGTCATCAGTTTGATCCCCAGTATCAAAAGAGAGAGAGAGAGAGAGACAGGGAGAGAGAGGGAGGGGAGAGAGGAGAGAGAGGGGGAGAGAGGAGAGAAAGGTGGGGGAGAGAGAGGAGAGGACAGAGAGAGAGAGGACAGGGAGAGAGAGAGAACAGACAGAGAGGGGAGAGAGAGAGGACAGAGTAAGAGAGGAGAGGAAGAGAGAGAGAGAAAGAGATTTTACACCAAGTTTAAAAATAACAAAACTTTCATTTTATGCACACCAGTTAAATGTTTTTGTTTAAAATGAAAAATTTATTTGCTCAGTACACTAAATAGGATGCAAGCATGTCATGACAAATATACAGAAATATGGAAATCAACATAAAACAGTAATGTAAATGAAGGGCAATCTCTTTAATGTTATGACAACATACTCCCACGAAGAATCTTTTCTTCAGTTAATTATACATTTCAATAAAATAAAGGGTAATGGATTAAGTGGAAGTCAGCTTGTGAACTTTTCTTAAAAATAAAACTCCAACTGTATTTATCCATGCTAAACACTCCAACTAAATTTCCAAATAAGCACAAAAGGAGATAGAGCAGTTAGTTACCTTTTTTTTGCTGGAACAGTCCAGAGGAAAATAGTTACTACAAATAACAGCAGGCAAACTGTTGGATTGACCGATCTAGAACATAGTGTACTAAATTTCAGTGTCAAATTGTGCTAAATGCTCATCATTAGTATGGCACATTTTGGTCCATGATGTGGTTTAATGCCAAGACAGATCACAATTTGTTACAGAAACAGATTATTGTTGCCTTTTTAAATTTTTAAATGTGTGTGTGTGTGCGTGTCTATGTGTGAGTGTGTGTGTGTATTAAAAAGCCAGGTATACTTTCACATACAAAGGCAGTTTTTCCCAGGAAGACTTTACAGGAAGTAGTCTGGGGTGCGCCGAGTAACATGAGGCTCTCCACGACGAGGTGCTGGGTCAAATTGAAGACTACAAATGGCAAAGAAAGGAACTAGTTAAAATATTTGACTTCAGAAACAAACAAGTTAAAAAAGAATAAGACACTGATTAGAAATAGTCCTTGCTTCCCAACGCTGCCGCATTAACAAAGGTTGGAATGACCCTAAGCAAGTTACTCTGGAGGTCTTAACCAGTATCACCACTTCACAAAGCTATGGTGAAAATTTAAAGCAGGCAGGAGGTCTACCCCAGAGCCTAGCAAAGATTTGTAATACCATAACCAGTTACATGGAAGTTGTGAGACTGATGATGTGCTTCTCTGATTCCTGATTTTAGGGAGAAAACTTTTCTTTACCATTAAATATGATGTTAAATGGGGGCAGTAGTTTCACAGATCTCTTTGTCAGCTGAAGAAATTCCCCTCTATGACTAGCTTGAGTATTTTTATTCTGAAAGGATGTGGGTAGTCAAATGTATTTTCTCTATCTACTAAGATGACTGGCTTTCGTCATTCACTTTTTTGGAGACTATCTCACCATGTAGTTAGTTCAGGCAGGCCTTGCCCTCACTATGTAGCCCAGGCTGGCCTCAAACTCACAGCAATCCTGCCCTGGCCTCCTGCATGCTGGGATTACAGGTATGTACCACCGTTCCCAGTTGTCCTTTAACATTTTAACATTGTTTATTACACCAAACCAGTTTTGCATTCCTAGGATCAGGCCTACCTGGATTTTCCTTTTCTAATCAGTCCTGGAGATCATAACCTTAAGCATGCACACAGTCTTCGATATGGTTGTGATTTTTAAGCCTGATCTCCTACCGGGTTAGGTTCAGCTGGCGTTTGATTGAAGTTTGTGTTGGGTTACACACATTGTTGACTAATCAATTTATTAGTTTTCTAGGGCTGCCATCAAAACTTGGTGGCTTAAATAACACAGATTTATTCTCACAGTTATAGATGCTCTGAGTCTGAAAGGTGTTGGCTGGGGCCTGTTCCCTTTGAAGCCCCTAAGCAAAAAGTCTTCCTGTTTCTCCCTGGCTTGTCTCCTGGTGGATCAAACATTCTTGGTATATAGATACATCACTGCAATCTATTTTCTTTTTAAGAGAAATTTCAAATGTGTGCAGCTCTGTTATTTTTATTTTTAAATTGTTATTAGTACATGTCTGCAGTAATTATATTCACCTTAGGAGTTTGTACATGTGCATAACACATCTTAACTCTTTTAACTTCCCCACCCCACCCACCCCTTGTCTGTCTTCATATGGCTTCTCTCTTCTGAAACTGTTGCTTTTCTTCTGGTGAGGATACTAGTCATACTATGTTGAAGGTCCACTCTAACCCAGGGCAACCTCATTTTAATTGAATCTGCAAAAAAGTCTGTTATCAAATAACATTACACTAAGTTTCTGGGTAAATATGAATTTTATGAGAGGTCACTATTAAACTCAAAACAATCATTGGATGGCTTGGGCATGTTATTAGGAATATTCCATATCTTACTCTGCTCCTCAGAGGATATAGCTAGTACATGCACACAGCCTTCTTGCCATGCCAAATTTACTGTGATCCCAGCAGGGCTTTTCTTAGCTGTCTCTTTCCCTCATTTTAGCTGTTAACTCTTGTTGCTCCTACTCTTGCTTGTCACTAGAAGTATCACGGGAACCATGAAAATAGTCATATCTGGTCTCCACCATGATAGCCACTGTTTTCAACAAAGTACTCAGGATGAGAATTCTCTATCCACTGTTCTAAGAAAGGCAGAGCTGAGGAACTTTTCTGGTTTGCCTCTCTACTCTTTGAACAGAACTTCTCAAACAACTTTTTTGTGCTATTGCTGGGGATAGATATAAACTGCTTCTGAGATGTCTCCTGATCCGCAGAATGTGCTATGGCAAGTGCAACTGGAAACCCAGTGTTCTCTACTTGTTATGCATGTCTGGAATAGAGCACCCTAGAGGTTGGGTGGAGGAAGAGAGTCTTGGCCACTTAATCATCTATCAGAAGTTCACTGTCTGTAACTCAAGACATTAGGGCATTTGTAAGATGTTTAATCTCTGGGATAAAAATCATAGCCTTAGACTGGAACTGTAGAAACCCCAAGGTTAAGAAACATGGGGCCAGCCGGGCGTGGTGATGCACACCTGTAAGCCCAGCACTTGGGAGGCTGAGGCAGGAGGATCACTGTAAGTTCAAGTCCAGCCTGGGCTACATAGTGAGTTCCAGGTCAATCTCACCTACATAGTGAGACCCTGTCTCAAACAACAACAACAACAACAACAACAACAACAACAACAACAACAACAACAACAACAACAACAACAACAACAACAACAAGAAACATGGGGCCAGGGGAGAGTAGCTGGAATAATTTCTGTAAGCTGGATATGGGAATAGGGGGAGGGAGCAAGTTGTGGCTCAATGGCCATAGGCTCCAACTGTTATTATTGAGATTTGGTAGATTTCTCTCAAATAACTGTTGCAAGCCATTGGGACAATTCCCAAATGCTTTGTTTTTCTCTAGTTAAATGGTTTTTCTTGTTATGGACAGAGTCTGTCACACTTTCGCCTTCACAATCCAGAAGCAGAAATCTTCTATCTAGTTTTAACAGCTGTTTTTAACATTTTTCTTCTAAAACTGAGGACAGCAGAGCTGGAGGCTGTACCCCATTCCACATGCAAGAGCAACCGTGGAGCAGCCCCTGCCCCCAGCAGACCCTTGATGGGGGAATGGTGGGAGCAACCAGACCCTACAGCTGTCATTTAAGCCAACGGCCACTTGAACCCTCAACCCCTTGCAGCCTACATCCAGCAGAGAACAGAGGGCCGATTGGGTCTCTACCTACTTACTACTAAGGGGAGCAAGGACTTGCCTTGGTTCGCAGTCTTGGGGCACAAAGAGAAGGGCCTCTAGAGCACAGAGGGCACCTTAAAGACACACAGGCCTTAAAGCTGGGCATGAAAAAATCCTGTTTGGCTGTGTTCCAAGACTGCAGATCATGGAAAGAAACCACTCATTCAATAACCCAGAATTTTTTCTTTTACTCAATCTTTTTATTGATTTTCCTATTTTTTAAATTATTTTTATCTTTCCCACATTGGGTTTTTTCAGAGCTAGGGAGTTTTCTACCATTTTATTTTTTTCTCCTTTTACTTTCTTTTTTCCCTTTTCTCTCTTTTTCTCCTAGCTTTTTCTTGTTTATCTCCTATATTTGCTGCTTTTTTCTTCGTTTTCTTATTCATGTTTTCTAGCAATTTTCTTGGTAACTATTAATTTCCTCTCACTCCTTAACAGATCCCCTCCTCATATCCCATTAATTAATTCTTCAAATTTTGCTTTTTACCCATTCTTCAGATCCCCACTCCCTCTACCTTTACTAGTGTAACTACTAAACTTTATGAATTTCTAGATAGTCAACTTTATGCTATTACTATTCAATGCTGTGCTGCTGTTTTAGAGGTAAAGTTCCATTTACTAGATATTTACTGTAGGTTAATATTTGGTTTGTCTTAAGTGTTCGCACTATAATTATAGAATTCTTTTTTTGTGTGTGTGTGTGTGTGTATCAGGGCTTGAACTCGGGACCTTCTACTTGTGAGGCAGGCAGTAGAGGCACCACTGAGCTAAATCCCCAGCCCTATACATTTCTTTTCTATGGACAGCAAGAACAGGTATTTAGTTGGTCCTTAAGGTTTGTAAATATTCAGCTTGTATTTCATGCTACAATTGACGCTGATTTTTATTACAAAAGCAAAAGAGCCACAGCTGTTGCTATTAATTTTCTTGAGATGCCAATATCTAGATTGCCTACGAGTCATTAGCAATACTGTGGCCCATTCTGGGAGAACTGGGTATTGGGCCAAACATGCTGCCACCTCCAGCATGTCGTATCAATTAAAGATGGGTGGCTGGATCACGGGACAGAGCAAAGTTAGCCACAAGCAGAGTACACCACTGAAAAGTAGGCATTAACTAAAGACTAGAAACAGGCCTTTTCCACAAGCTTCAACACAAAACAACCAATGACAGAGAGAGAGAGAGAAGAGGAGGGAGAGGGGGAGAGAGAGAGAGAAATGAGAAGACAAGTGATGAAATTTCTCCAAGAGCTCACACTCCTCCAAAGCTAATCCATGGGGCATCAAAGAAGAGGAAACCAAGAGCCTCTCACTTGAGCAGTTTAATAAGGCAACTGGCAAGATCACAGAAGATATAAGTAACAAGATGTTGGGCCAACTAAATAAAATCATTGGCAAGTCTAAACAAGACAGTAAATAAATAGAAGGGCTACCAAAACAATGCAAAACATGATCAGCATAGAAAAGGACAAGATTCCTTCTAAGGGCTTCAAAAAGAAATTAAGGAGAATAAAAATTCTATTGCAAGTATTGCAACAGAAGTGACCAATGTTAGGACAGTGTCTCAGAACTAAGGGCTGTTGTCAGGAACCACTTAATAAGAGACATCTTAAAAACAAGAGGACATGAAAAATGATCCAACAGATCCTAGATGATGTCAAGAAGACTAATCTAAGATTAACAGGAATTAGTGAAAAACATGACAGCACAAATAGCATAAAAAGCATTTTTGCTGAAAACTTTCTAAATAAGGTAAAAAAAATTTAACATACAGATAAGTAGGCATACAGAACCCCAAATAGCTATGATCAGAAAAGAACCTCTCCACGGACATACCATAGTCAAAACCTCAGAAATCTAATATAAGAATAGAATCTTAAAAGCAGTTAGACAGAAGCAACAAATCCTTATCAATCCTTTCCTTATAAAGGAAAACCCATTAATATTACAGCAGACTTTTCAACACAAACCTTAAAGACCAGGAGTGAATGTTTTAAGCCCTAAAAGAAAACAATTTCCAACCTGTCCTGACATATCTTGCAAAATTATCTTTCAAAATTGATGAAAAAATAAGATACTTTCATGATGAAGAAATTTCAGCTAAAGAAATTCATCGTTAATCAAACCAGCACTTCAAAAATTCTCAAGGATACTTGAATACAAAAAGACAATGAATGAAGCTAACAATTACAGGGTGACTATAACACATAGGGGGAGCAGTTAAAGGGAAAGAAAGAAAATCAACAACAGGAAAATAAGGCAAAGATAGGTATAAATCAGTATCTATCAGTAATAACTCTCAATGTAAATGAAAATCAAAAGACAGACTAGCAGAATAGATCAAGAAACAAAGTCTAACATTATACTGTATCCAAGAAAAACATTTAACCCAAAAAGAAACTCAAAGACTAAAAACCAAAGGATGGAAAAAAATATTTCAGGCAAAAGTAACTCAAAAAGCAGGTGTAGACCTCAAGACAAAACTGATCAAAAGAAGCAAAGAAGGTCACTACATATTCGTTAAGGGAACAACCCAACAGGAAGAGGTAACATATGTGTACCAAACAATGGTGCACCTAACTTCATAAAACAAATACTACTGAACATAAAAGATCAACAGGCATAGAGACAATTATAGTGGGGGAATCTCAAAACTCCACTGTCACAAATAGATCAATTAGACCAAAAAAAAAAAAAAAAAAAAACCCAAAGTCATTTGAACAAATGAACTTAAGCTTCTTGAAAATCAGGAACGATTCAAACCCAAAGTTAGCACAAGGAAAGAAATTTTAAAGATCAGAGCACAAAATCATTGAAATTGAGAGAAAAAAAGAATGAATCTGAGTTGGTTCTTTGAAAGAATAAACAAGATAGACAAACTGTTAGCCAATCTAACAAAAAAAAAAAAAAAAAAAAAAAAAAAAAAAAAATCCAAATCAATGTAATCAGAAACGAAAAAGGTGAAATTACAACAGATGCAGCCAAAGAGAAAAAAAGAATTAATATCTACTTTGCTGTTTGCCAATAAAATGGAAAATTCAGAAGAAATGGATATATTCCTAGATACATATGAATTACCCAAGCTGAACAAAGATTTAAATCTCTGAATAAATCAATAACAGGCAATGAAATCTAAGTAGTAATAAACAACCTACCAACTATGAAAAATCCAGGTCAGACAGGTTCACTGCTAAATTCTGTAAAAACTTAAAATCTAACATCAATATTCCTCAGGCCTTTTTTTTTTCTGGGTACTGGGATCGAACTCTGGAACTTGAGCTTGTGAGGCAGGCGGCAGCACCATTGAGCTAAATCCCCAGCCCTCCTCAGGCCTTTCAATGAAACTAAGAGGGAAGGAGTACTCTCAAACTCATTCCTGGAAGCCATCATCACTCTGATTCCAAAACCAGACAAGGATCCAACCAAAAAAGACTATGAATGAATACAAATGCAAAAGTCTTCATAAGATAGTGGCAAACAGAATGCACCAAATCATCAAAAAGATGATATATCATGACCAAGCAGGCTTCATCCTATGGATGGCAAGGATGGTCCAACACATGAAAATCAGTAAATGTAATACAGGGCTGGGGATTTAGCTGAGTGGTGCCACCTCCTGCCTCGGAAATGCAAGTCCTGAGTTTGATCCCCTGTACGGAAAAAAAAAAAAAAAAAAAATCACACAAATAGAAGCAAGGACAAAAATCACATGATCATCTCATTAAATGCAGAAAATGCTTTTTTTTTTGGTACCAGGGATTGAACTAGGGACCTTGCACTTGCAAACAAGGCAGCAGAACCACTGAACTAAATCCCTGGCCCCAGAATGCCTTTGATAACATCCAACATTTTTTCATGACAAAGACACCGAAGGAAAAAAAAGTATAGAAGGAACTCATCTCAATCTGATAAAAGCCAATTATGACAAGTCTACTGCCAAGATCATATTAAATGAGGAAAAACTAAAAACTTTCCCTCTAAAATCAGGAAAAAGATAAAGATGTCCTCTATTACCAGTGTTCAACAAAGTACTAGAAATAGCAGCAAAGGCAGTTAGGCAAGAAAAATAAAAGGGATACATAAAAAAGATCCCCCCAAAAATCCACAAAAAGACTCTTAGAATTAATAACCAAATTCAGTACTGAAGAATGCAAAATCAACACACAAAAATCAATAACATTCCTACTGAGCATGGTGGCACATGCCTGCAATCCCAGCACTCTGGAGGCTGAGGCAGGAAGACTGCCCTCACTTTGAGGCTACCCTGGACTATATAGTAAGTTCAAGGCCAGCTTGAACTACATAGTGAGACCGTCTCAAAAAAAACCCCAAAACCATACCTTCCCTGTAGGCTAATATTGAATCCAATGAAAAAGAAATTAGGGGAAAAAATACCATTCACAAATAATAGCACTAAGAAAAATGAAGAACTTAGGAATTAACCTAAGGAAATGAAAGATCTCTACAGTGAAAACTATAGTGCTCTGGAAAAGGAAAACAAAGAAGAAAGACATCAAAAAATGAAAAGATATACCTTTCCTGGATAGGAAGGTAGAACCAATATAGTAAAAATAACTATACTTCCAAAATTGATATAGAGATTTAATGCAATCTAAATAAAAATACCAACAGCATTTTCCACAGATCTAGAAAAAACAATCCTAAAATTGTTATGGAACCAGAAGAGACCCAGAATAGCAAAAACAATCCTCAGTAACAAAAGTAAAGTGAAAGGCATCACAATCCCAGACCTAAAGCTATATTATAAAGCTACAGTTATAAAAACAGCACCATACTGGCACATAAACAGACATGAGAATTGATGGAACAGAACAGAGATGCAGAAATGTCCTCAAGCACATTCAATTACTTGAGAAAGGGGTCAAAAACACACACTTGGGGAAAGATTGCCTCTTTAATAAATGGTGCTGGGAAATCTGGCTGTTCACATGCAGAAGACTGACCCTAGATCTGTATTTCTTACCATGTACTAACCTAATATCAAAGAACTAAATGTTAAAACAAATACTTAACTTGCTAGAAGACAAGATAGGTAAATTCTTGAAGTCTTAGGTGTAGGCAAGGACTTTCTGGAAAGAACCCCAATTATACAGGAAATAGTTCTGAGAATCAGCAAATGAGCAAATTAAAAAGCACATTAAAAGAAACAACCAGCAGAGGGAAAAGAATCTAAAGAATGGGAAAAATTTTTTGCCAGTGATTGCTCAGGCAGAGGACTCAAATCTAGAATACAAAAAGAATTAAAGAAAGGGGAGAGATTCCCCCAAATAAAGATCCAATCAAAAAATGGGCAAACAAAATGAATAGACACTTCTCAAAAGAAGAACAGATATATGAAAAAATGTTAAGCTTTGCTGGCCATTAGAAAAATACAAGTTAAAAACAACAGTGAGATTCTTACTCCAGAAGAATGGCTACCATCAAGAAATCAAATAACAACAAATACTGGAGAGGCTGTGAGGGAAAAAAAAAAGAACCCTTTGCACTGTTGATGGTAGTGTTAACTAGCACAACCACTATGGAAATCAGTATGGAGATTCCTCAAAAAACTAAATCTAGAGGTTCCATTTGACCCAGCTATTCCCCTCCTAGGTATCTTTCTGAAAGAGTTAAAGACATTATATTACAGAGAGACACATATACATGTTTATGGTAGCACATTTCATAATAGCTAAATATCAGAAGCAGCCCGTAAGACCATCAATAGACGAATGGATAAAGAAAATGTAGTAATTATATCCCCTGGAATATTACTCTGTCATAAAAAAGACAGACCTAAGTTATTTGTAAGAAAATGTGTGTACCTTGAGACCTTAACATTAAGTGAAATAAATCAGACAAACTTAAATATCACAGTTTCTTTTATATGAAAAACACAGAGTAAAGATAAAGAGCAAAATAAAAGATACATAATAGGAAGTAGGGAGGCAGATTGTTCTCAGAAAGAAAGGAGATCAGGAATGCAGAGAGGGGAGAGGGAAGAAAAGAAGGGATAAGGGATGAAAATAATGAATTGTAATGTGTCATGTAAATATATCAATTTCACACAAAGAATGTAAACATTATGTACTGCAAATATATACAAAAGGGGAAGGGGCAAAAAATATGTGGAGGGGGGGTGGATCAAAGGGGAAGGGGGATGAAAAAAGGAATTAAGATGTGTTATGACCCGAGTGTGATGGTGCACGACTGTAATCCCAGCACTTGGGAGGCTGAGGCAGGAGGATCGCTGTGAATTCAAGACCAGCCTGGGCTACATAGTGAGTTCCAGGTCAGTTTCAACTACATAGTGAGACCCTGTCTCAAAACTAAAAAAAAAAAGTGTTATGCACACATACCAACATTCTACAAGGAATGCAAACATTATGCACTACATGTATGTACTAATAACTAAAAATTTTAAAAGTATTATCGGAAATTGATTAAATATAATTAACACTTAAAGTTACTTACAAAGAATATTTTAAGGTGTCATCCAATTCCATGATAGCAGCCTGGTTTCCGCAACGATAACAATAATTGGGTGCGCTGAATATGGTAACCACATTCCGATCATGACACCAGTTGTATCCCTGCAGCATTAAAATGTTTCATTATAAAATGATGATCCCACAAATATCCCTTGCAGATACACACAGTTATCTATGTTGCATTATATGGCCTCCCTTTTTAATAGTTTATCTATCTGTACAGAACACTGTAATTTACTGGGCACAGGGTTCTGTTACACAGAGCTCAACTATGCAGTTTTGCTTAATTTTAGATACACTGAAACTTCTTCCACAAAGATGACAGATTTCTCAACTTTCATAAGCTGAGTCCTATTAGTAAATATAAACTTAGAATACTTTCTTCCTAGAGAATTGGGCCAATTTTCATCAATGACTGTTTTGCTTGTAATGATTTTTCCTTGGGGTCTATTCTGACTCATATTGGCTATAATTTGGATAACTTGTTATACCAATAAATTACTTTCAATTGCTTACCTCTAATTTGTGGTGTCATTATGTTCCAAATAACAGCCGAATTTTGATCTATCCAACTTGGGAGTCTTTTATGCATGAAAAAATTTAGTCCATTTACATTTCTTATGACTAATGATATAGTTTATTTTTATCATATAAATTTATGTTCTATATTATATTCCTCTATTATACCCTTCTCCTTGCTCTGACTGAACTGGTGAAAGGTTTTCTTTTTAATATCTTACTTCCTACTGGTTTGGAGGAATTATGCTCTATTTTCATTCCTTTACTAGTTACAAAATAGTAACATTATAGGGGAGAAATCCTATGATCAGTTAATCTACCAGCATATGACATACAGATTTCATGACCCTCATAAGATGCACTGAGTACACAACATAATTCTATGTTATGCCTGCCAAAGCAAATATTTTGAATCCTATTAAGGAAGCAACAGTTAAATCTCATGCTAATTAGATTCGTTAATTGAGGATAGTTCTATAAAATAAAATGCTTATGCCATTTATTATGGTTTGGGTCTGGATGTTCTCCCAAAGCCTCGATTGGTCAGAGGTAGCTGAATCTGGAACATCTGATATTCTGATGTCAGGATTAAGAACGTGATTACTGAACCACTACACCCTAATCCCGGTAGTCTAGATGGTATAAAAGAGGCAGGAAGATGCAGTGAAGCTTCCTTTTGTTGCTTTTGCTACCTTGTGTGCCATGTTATTTCTCCTCTGCAATGACTGTCTGTCATCCTCCCTGTCTTGTCTTTTTTTTCTGGTACTGGGATCAAACTCAGGACCTTGCACTTGCGAGGCAGGTGGCGGAACCACTGAGCTAAATCCCCAGCCCTATCCTCCCTGTCTTGGAGCCAGCCAATTATGGCCTGAAACCTTTATAACTGTAAGCCAAATAAACTCCTTCCCCTTTAACTTTGGGTGTCAGTTATTTTTGTCTCAGAAACAAAAGTAACACACTATTCCAAAAAAATGTCAAAATAGCACAAAACAAAATCTGAGGAGTTAATTCTATACTAATGGAGACTGAATATAACGCAATCTAAGATTACATTGTGCACATGGACAAAAACTGAATTTTGATATAAATGATATTGGTGACATAATTAGCAAAATTTGACTGAAGTGTTTAGATAGCAGTATTTATTATTATACCAATGATGATTTCCTGATTGCGTTAACTGTTCTCTCGCTGTATAAGAAAATACCCTTAACAAAATACACCTGGAGGGCTGGGGATTTAGCTCAGCAGTTCCGCCACCTACCTTGCAAGCCCAAGGACCTGAGTTTGATCCCCAGTACCAGAAAAAACAAAAAGAAAAAAACCCAAAAAGCAAAATACATCTGGAAATTTGGAGATAAAGAGGCATTTGCCTACAGATAACATTCAGAAGAAAGTGGGAGATCGGGAGTGATAAAGCAAATATAGTAAAATATTTACATTCAAGACTGGAGGAAGAGAATTCTGGGGTTTTCTTTCTATAAATTTTCTCTATTTAAAAATGAGTTATAGGGCTGGGGATTTAGCTCAGTGATGCTGCACCAGTCTCGCAAATGCAAGGTCCTGAGTTCAATCCCTGGTACCCCTACCCAAAAGTTATACTTTCTTTATTTGATATAAATTTTTCTCCTTTCATCTGGTAACAAGAGGTAGTGTTTCCTATATTCTAAGTCAGGAAGACATACATACTACTTGAAATAAAGACCATTTGGCAGAAAAAGTACATACCTCCATTACAAGCTGGTGGGCACGAGAAACCAGTGTGAGACCGTTGGCATGGTTAAATGTTTCAGAAATATCTTGTCCAAATGTGTAGCCAGCACCACGAGGTGAAATACCCCATCCACCACGATCGTCTGGATCTGACCATAAGAGATCACACATTGGGCCCTGATCAACAAAACAGAGTATATGTCATAAATTAGTGGCAGTCATATTGAACTTATTTAGCTTCCTCACATGTGCTTATATTGCTTTTTATTTTTAAAATAAAGTTTACCTCATGCGGAACTTCTTGTAAACGATCCAGGGCTCTTATATGATCCAGTGTATCTATGGATGGAGAGAGGCCACCATGGAGGCAGAATATCTGTTTATAAATTTAGAAAGAAAATATATTTGTTTTTCTTATTGCCAAAAGTTAATGCAAGCTAAATAATAGTTACATATGTGGGTCCTAATAGCTTTTTTTTTTTAAAGTAAAGTTTATGTAGCCCATGCTGATCTTGAACTTGTGGCTATCTTCCTGCCTCAGCCTCCCAAGTCTGGGATCATAGGCATGTGCCTGACTAAAATTGTTAACTTTACATATAGTTTCCTCCCCCCTTTTTACTTCACGGTTTTACTAGATGGTTTATTGTTTGTTCTTCTGTATGTGGTGCTGGGGATTTAATCTAGGTTCTCATGAATCTGGTCAAGCGCTCCACCACTGAGCTACATCCCTAGCTCCCACCCCGGGTGTTTTATACAGTGTTTTCTCCTCCTCTCTGGTGAACAGGAACCCCAATTGTGCCCAGCTATTATACTTTCTGTTGGCTATTGATGATGTATAAAACTTTATTTCTCTTGCAGCAATCATTCCTACTGATTCCTATTGCAGGTTACAACAGTTTTTCTGTTTTGACTTTCTGAGTACATGTTATTTAAACAAAATATATACTATATTAATTTTTTTCCTCTTAATGTTTATGTCTTCGAATTCTTTTTGTTTAGTGCACTAGCTAGAATTTCTAACACAAAACTGAATAATACAGGAAATTTTTTTTTTTGAGACACAGTCTTGATATGTAGTCCAGGCTGGCCCTGAATTTGCTGAAATTCTCCTGCTTCAGCCTCTCAAGTGCTGGGATTACAGGCATGCGCCACCACACCCAGCTAACAACACAAGTTTTAATGAACATTTTTCTTCTGATTTTGGTGAGAAGGATTCTAATGTTTCACCAATTTCTTTAACCCATTAATGAGTTTTAAACCATCAATGTAGTACTTTTTTCAAATGATATTGGTCAGGTTTCATCTTTCAGTACTTGCCAGATACTGACTTGATACTGGCATTACACTCGGCACACAGCTGCTTTGTTTTTTGCAGGTCTGGGGATGGAGCAAAGTGTGAACTATGATGCTATCTCTTCTCACGTTTGTTAAAGGTTGGGTGAAATTAGCCTACTAAATATTAGACCTGGTTACCTGGGTACCAATGTGCCAAACATTGTATCTGTTAGGTAGGTAAGGCAGTCATGTTCAAATATTCTATAGACCTATATGTTCTGTTTATTTATTTTGGGGGTATAAAAAGTCTTCTAGCAACATTTTATAATGTGTCAGTAATGGTGTATATTTACTCTTTTGTTTCTTACAAGGCCTGCAATAGCAAAGAGCAATGGCCCATTGAGAGTAAGTGTGTGGAGGGCACTGGCAGGTGGAGAAAAATATATAAAGCTCTAGTAATGTACTTTTTAAAAAAGTTCTGGGGATTAAAACCCAGGGGCTTGGGCCGGGTGGGGATTTAGCTCAGTGGTTCCACCACCTGCCTTGCAAGCATAAGGACCCTAGTTCAATCCCCAGTACCAAAAAAAACAAAAACAAAAACAAAAACAAAAACAAAAAAAGCCCAGGGCCTTGAGCAGAGCAGACAAGTGTTATACCACTGAGATACACTCCTGGTCCAAATGCACTTACTTTAAAAATTAGATACACCATCAATATTGTTAGGATACACATCTAAAATAATTTTGTCTGTTAATTATAATACTAATTAAAACTATATTGCCCTTTTCTTGGTACTGGGGATCAAACTCAGGTCCTTGTGCTTGCAAGGCAGGTGGTGGAACCACTGAGCTAAATCCCTGGGCCATTATATTGATTTTTAAAAATGTAAAACCAGGCCAGAGATTTAGATCAGTAGTTCTGCCACCTGCTTCGCAAATGCAAGGACCTCAGTTCGATCTCCGGAATAAAAAAAAAAAAAAAAAAAAAAAAAAAATTAAAATTTATCACCTTATAAATTCATGCTTTCTTTCATTTTAACAAGCACAGCCAAAGTATTATCCTTTTAAATTAATTACTGCACACAAAAAAAAAATTACTGCATTGTCCAAAATCATGGCTGGGAAAATGTAGATCAGAATTATACAGAGGGTCACAACCAAATTACATTCCCACCAGAAGGCCAAAAGAGTATCTACTGCAGCATTGACAATTAGAGACATTTAAGAACTACAGAGTTTTATATTTAAATTTAAATCAGTTCATTCAGTGAAACCTCTAGAAACTAAAACAGGAAGGCTGTATTTTGTTTTTCTACTTTTCAATGTTCTAGGATATGTCTGCAATACTTATTTTGGGGGGAAAAAAGAACTCACTTCTTAGCAAAAGTTTAATATATAATATACTAATTTTCAATTACTATGAAAGCAGGAATAAAGTTATTCACGGTAACCAGCACTGTGTAAAGATGCAAAGACAATTAAAATAACATCTGGTTTTATAAACAGAATACATCATGGTCTTTATAACATTTATCTATAATAAAAAAGCATATTAGCATATTTGTCAAAAGACTAACACATACCATATCTGAGAACAGGGAAATATGCTATTCTAAGTGTGTACAAAACTATGCAGTTCCTTGGTTGGAAATTTGAAAAGAGGAAAGAAAGGTCAAGGAGATGCACATAACCAGGTCACCTAAATCTAGAACATACATTATTAATAGTAAATCCTTTGTGACATTTACCCCTATTGTAACACACACACACACACACACACACACACAAAACCACACACATACACACCTGTCCATCCACCAAAGCTGTAAGTGGAAGATAATCAAAAAGATCTGTAAAATATTTCCAAACATTGGCATTTCCATATTTTCGTAGACATTCATCATAAAAGCCATATACTTGGGTAATTTGTCGGCTTTCATGATTTCCTCTCAATATGGTAATGCGTTCTGGATAACGCACCTAGAAGAAAAGGAAGAGAAATCCACAGTATGCTCATATTTTTAATGCAACATGTTAAGAACAGTAACTTCAGATCCTTCTTTAAATGGCACTTTGTCCTCTAATAAGTTAAATGTTCTTTTTTGGAGTAAAACAACTTTATCTTCATAAGCAGGGCCTGTTGATTAACCTTTGAAATATTTTTTATGGTCATCCTTCTTCAGTATATTAGTATCTCCCTTATCAGAACCTCTAACTGATACCTCTATTACTATAATAAACTTGTAGCTAATTCTTTAAATCTTTCAAGAATACTTAGTTCTTACAGCTGAATGGATACTGAAGCGCAGATGTTACAACCTAGGACGAGTTCCTTTATAAACTAACTTCTTCCCTTTTCAACTCCTATTTCCAGTGCAAAGATTGGCTCCAGCCAAATCTGAGCAAAATTTCAAATGTATTAATAGTTTCCTTTCTCTGAGAAAACAAAAAACTATACAATGCAGCATACCATAGGATGATCAATCCTAATCCAAAATTCCAAAATCTGAAAATTATTCCCCGAGACTGAATCCATGATCTTGTGCAAGCAAGCCAAGCATTCTACCACATCACTACATCCTCTGCTCTAAAAATTTTTAAAGTGGTGACATTATGCCAAAAGTGGAAAATTCCACACTATGAAACTGTTCTAAAATTACTGAACTATGAAAATTATTAAAGATATTGTGTAAAATTACCTTCAGGATACCTGTGTAAGGTGTACATGAAACAAACAAATTCTGTGTTTTGACTTGGGCCCCCTCCCCAGGATACTTTGAATACAGTATGTGCAGATATCCTAAAATTCAAAATTCCAAAACTTGTGGTCCAAAGCATTCAGGTAAGGGATACTCAAGGCAGGGAGTGATGACACATACCTGTAATCCAGCACTCAGGAAGCTAAGGCAGGAAGATCAGCATGAGCTCCAGGCCAGCCTGGACTACATAGTGAGTTCAAATCCAGCTTGAATTACAAAGCAAGATCCTATCTCCAAAAAGAAAAGAGATACTCAACCTGTATTTAGTTGGGAATGTGTCTGTTTGTTTTTTGAGGCAAGGTCTCACTATGTCAACCAGCCTGTCCTCAAACTCATGACAATATTCCTGCCTCAGCCTCCCAAGTGTAAGGATTACATGTCTGTGCCACCATGCCTGGCTCTAGGAATATGTCTTATGAGAAGAAAAAGTCCAAAAGAGTCTATGCGAAACACCCATTGTATGTGTGACATTAAACTATACCTAACTTTAGTGTTACAAAGACAATGCTGGGTCCACACAAGAATGTATGGTCTCTGCTCTTTAGGAACTTATCCCATTAAGGAGAAATGTGACATAAACAATATAAATAAGCCACTATGTAACATACATAAGGGATGACATAAGGGATGTGTGAGAAGTTTCAACACAGTAATCTTTTTTGATATTGAGGACTGAACCCTTAGGCTTTTGAACTGAACAACAGGTGTAGCTCTTCTTATTTTGAGACAAAGTTTTGCTAAATTGTTAGGTTGCCCATGCTGAGCTCCAAATTGAGATTCTCTTGCCTCAGTCTCCCAGAGTGCTGGAATTACAGGTGTGTTCCATCTTTGTCAGCTTTATTACAGTAATTTTGAGTGAAAGGAGTAAGGCTAAAATATGAGTCTTTGTGGAAAAAAAGAGACAGCTAAGTCTGGGCAGAAGGGCCAAGAAACTAATGGGAATAATCTTGAAAGGAAATTGGATAAAGAAGTAAATGGAGTTAGTTAAGAACACTGAATAAGATTGATCTGAGGCAAGGAGTTTATGCTACCAGCTACTAGTAGGTATTTTCAGACTAGACAATAGAGGACAGTAAGGAGTTTGAATTTGATTCTACAGGCAACATGGACTCACCAAGGAATTTGGAAACAGGTAAGTAAAAAAGTACTAGTAAATGCTAAATAAGAGTGATTTCATCTGACAGCATATTCAAGGTGATTTTAAAGGATCAAATCTCAGTTATCAAAAGTTGCAGTACGGTGTGAAGTAATAAATTGTGTGGGGCAATAAAAACAGAAAGGTAGAAGTAACAGACTTTTTAAGGCAAGAATTTAAAAAGATTTGTTTACTGACTCAGCATGAAGAATAAGTCAAATATTCCAACATTTCAGTTACAGACAACCTGAGAGAACATATTTATCGGAAGTAGGTAGAAGCTTAACGCATAATTTTCTCTGTCTCTTTTTAAAACCAGCTATTATTTAAGAAGCTATGACCTGAATGGACCACAAACTCAAAACAGACGATGTGCAATACTATCATTTTGACTCCTGCCTAGTTCAAAATCTGAAAAAAAAAAAAGAAAGATGAATTTCACCAACCATACCTTTAATGCTACAAGAAGAGTCACAGTCTCCACGGAATAATAACCTCTGTCTACATAGTCACCCATGAACAGATAGTTTGTATCTGGTGATTTTCCACCAATTCTAAAGAGTTCCATAAGGTCATGGAATTGGCCGTGTACATCTCCACAGACGGTAACAGGACAACGAACCTCTTGCACATTTGATTCTTTTGTTAAAATTTCTTTTGCCTGTTAGAAAAACAAAACAATTTTATAAAATGGAGTACTACTTAAAAATAACAAAAGAGAAGCTAGAGCTATTTATAGCTAAATGGATGCACAGAGGCCATACTCTTACGTGATATAAGTAGGACACACGTGTAATTACCAAATAGTTTCTCTGGTGTGAGAAACTGAAAGTGTAAATAAGGATTAAAATGAAGAACTGATACTGTGAAATAGGAAGAAAAGGTCCAAAGAGGTAGGGGAAGTGGGAGGGGTAGGGGAAAGGAAAGGGGAAAGGAAAAAATGTGAGAACAGGAATAAATGGAAGGAAAGTCTCTGTAAATAAGGAAGAGGGAAGGAGTAAAGGGAGGGCAGGGATCTGGGGAAAATATAAGAACCAATATACATCATGTAAAGGTACAAGATCCCAATGATTATTGTAAATGTACTGTATACCTAAAATGTACCAATAAGATAATTTAAGGGGAAAAAAACCCCCAAAACAAAACAAAACAATTAAAATTTTTATTACGGATTCACAAGTATCACTTTTTCCCACTAAAAGAAAATTTGGGAGAAGGCACTTGAAAAAATGCTTCATAAAAGCATAAAATAAAAACCACACAATTAGATGCCACTTTACTAGTATGGCTACACTAATAAAGACTGATTAAGAGCTTGCAAAGACATGGAGAAACTGAAATCCTTATATGCTGTTGGGAATATAAAAGGCTTCAGCTGCTACTGAAAACAGTCTGGCAGCTTTAGAAAAATGCAAAACAAAATCACCATGCTAATTCCATTCTCAGATATACCCTTAAAATGAGACAGAAATTTGTTTACATATATTCACAGCAACATTATTTGTAATAGTCAAAAAGTGGGATGGGCCCGGGTTTTGGCTCAGCGGTTCTACTGCCGGCCTCACAAGCACAAGGACATGAGTTTGATCCCCAGTACAAAAAAAGCAAAAAAAAAAAAAAAAAAGGTGGGAACTACTTATATATCTACCAACTCCTAAATGGATGAATACAAATACTCATACAATGGAATATTACACAGCAATAAAGAAATGAAGTACTCACATAATTTTGAAAACATTATGCTATGTGAGAGAAGCTAGTTACAAATGGCCACACAACAGGCAAATGACAGAGGTAGAAAGTAGATTAGTAATGGTTGCCTAGAGCTTAGAAGGTAGAGGACTGCAGGGACTGGGGAATAACAGCTAAGAAATTCAAGATTTCTTTCAAGGATAATGAAGACATTCTAATATTGTGATGAACACACAAATAGGCAAACATACTAAAAGCTAATCAACTATACATTCTCAATGAGTGAAATGCACAGTACAGGAATTTTACCTCAACAAAGCTTTTTTTTTTGGTCTAGTATGGGGATCAAACTCAGGACCTTGTGCTTGCCAGGCAGACATGGTGGCACTGAGATACATCCCTGGCCCTCAACAAAGGTGTTTTAAAAAGTTTCAAAAGTCAATGAAATATAATTTACAATTATCTAGTTCTTTTTGGTACTGGGGATCAAATTCAGGACCTTGCACTTGGCAGGCAGGCATGTGCCACTGAGCTAAATCCCCAGCCCATCCAAGTTCTTGTATAAACAAACATGTTCTTACAACAATTTTAAGTCAACCTTCAAACTTAATCTTTTTCTCATGATGCTAGGTGCAGGGCTTCATATTGGCTAGGCTGTACCACTGAGGTACACACCTGCCCCTAACTCCCAAACTTTCTTTTCCAACTATCTTTTTAGAAGTAGGTTAGAATATACCTTTAGGGGGCCCTGACGTACATAATTTATGGATAAATGCTGTATTAATAAAAGTTAAATGTACTGACTAAATACAAAGTCATTAACAGCAAACATATTATAGTACTATAACTTTGCCTGTGGAGGGGGAAGCCTAGAATCAGGAAAAAAAAATTAAAAAGATCTCTAAAATAACAAAACAGATACAATGAAAATGTATGTACCTCCCATCACCTGCCAGAGGGTCTCTGAAGCCCTATTTTGGGATTATTTACTTGTTATATACAAAGCTCCAATAAAGTACATACCGTGTTTCTATGTCTATGACACTGAGATCACTGAAGAACTGAGAATTGGGACCAGACAGACATGAAAATGGAGATGAAGAAACTATCGGATGATATGATAGTAAAGGTGACACAGAAATAAAAGTCAAACAACAGTCATTATGAAGCTTAAAGTAGAACCTGCTACAGGACAAGCTAAGACTAGGGGAAGCATGGAATTTTAGGGATAGATGATTCCTTCAGTAAATCAATGTCTAATGAGCATTTGAGTTTCCATACGCACAGTATGAATTCCTGTTATATCTGTTAATAGAGTAAGATTTTGTCCTTTAAGTATGAAATGGAATCTTAATTTGTACCTGATACATTTTTTTAAAGCAGTTTTTCAAGTTTATTGGTCACTGCATTTCTTCTTTTTTTATGAAATGCCTACTCACAAATTTAGTCTTGTTTCTTACTGGGTTATTTATGTTTTCTGTATTTGTCACATATTTTGGGGAGGGTTTGCTTCTACATTTTAAAGTAGCCAAATTTATCACTCTTTCCTCTTGAGGAAAGAGTGCTATTTGGGTCTTGTTTTAGGAACTGTCCCCTACACAAAGGTCAAACAGGCAATTCTACACCCTGTATTTTTATCCCTTAAGTTTGGCTTTTCACATTTAAGAAGTCTTTAATCCAGCTGGCATATACTGTGCAGCACATCAGAGATTTTTTTTTGTACTTAGTGTTACTAATCATATAGTATTGTCCTTTTCTCATTAACTCATAATAACATCACTGCTAAGCTTTTGTAAAGATACATGCAAGTTTGTGGACACACCTTCACTGCACACAAACTACACTATCACAGTTCCCTTAAAATCCTTATTTTCTGAAGGAGCTGAAGGAGCTATCTCTTGAATTGACTGCTCTCATTGTGGACAGTGACTTTGCCCAGGGCCATGAGCTAGCTGCAGCCCAAGCTAAACCTGAGCTCGCTTGGTGCTCATTCTGAGTGCTACCTATGCTGGGCTGCTCTTCCATGCAGTAGTATGTGGGCTCTAGCTTCTGAGTAAGTGCCAAGGGATAGATGGCAAATTTCAGAAGTATGTGAGTCCCCTGCCTATGGAATGAACCTTGGTCAGTGGAAAAAGAGAAAAAGGTGTAACTGCCACTGTGTTTCTCCTTTCACAGACAGCTTTAGGATTCTGCTTGTTTGTAACTATCTGGATAGTTTTGTCCTTCCACAAAGCCTTCCATGTAAGATTGAGAACTTGTCAAGTCCTATGAAAATCCTGTTGGGACTCTGAAACTGCACTGCAGATATAAGTTAATTAGGCAAATGGACATCTTTAAAATAACAGGTCTTGGGCTGGGGATTTAGCTCAGTGGTTCCGCCACCTACCTTGCAAGCACAAGGACCAGAGTTCAATCCCCAGTACCATGCTCCCCAAAACCAGGTCTTTCCACTGATGAACACGGTAATGATCATCACCATTGATATTTCTTTTATTCTTTAATTGGGTTTCATAACTGTCTCTAATAATGTTTTTGTTGTTGCTATAGTCGGTTATACAAGTCCTGTACTGTCTAACAGCTTAGGTCACCATAAGATTGCAAATACAATGGAGTTCCCACAAGATTACGGAGCTGAGAAGTCCTACTGTTGCCTACTGACATACTAAGTGTCCTAACACTGTACGCATTACTCATGTGTTTGTGGTGATGGCATATAAACAAAGCTGTACTGCCAGTCATGAGAGGATAGTACAGGCAAGTATGTACAGTACAAACACCTGACAGTAAACAACTATGCCATTGGACTATATAGTCAATATACTAACTACACTTCCCATTGTTAGAGTGTACTCTTTCTACTGCGCTTACAAAAATGTTTTACTATAAAACAGTACACTGTCTTATGTTGGTAGCAACTTCAAACATATTGTGTGCATTGCATTTCTTGATCGCATCATTTCCTCTAGGTTTTCAATTATTCTTCAGTTTAAGTACTCTATGATGTCACCATGATGAAATCACTTAATGATTCATTTCTCAGAACATATCTCCACCGCTAAGCGATGTATGACTGAATCCAAGGTAATTTACAGTTGATACTCTGCTAGGATTCAAAATAATATTTCTAGAGTCTAATATTCCTATGCTTTTGGCATGTAATAAATTTAAAATTTCATATCCCCCCTTTCTTGTTTAAAAAACAGAAACATCAGAGCCAGGTGCAGTGGTGTGTATGCCTATAATCATAGCACTTGGAAGGCTAAGGCAGGAGGATCACTGTAAGTTTGAAGCCAACTTGGGCTACACAATGAGTTTAAAGACAGCCTGAACTACATATGGAGACACTGTCTTTA